GAGAGAACCAACAAACAACTCTACGCACATGACATAAAGCACTGACTGACACCCGGGTCTCATTGGTGAGAGGCGAGCGCTCTCACTGCTTCGTCACCCATGTTTCCTTTACAATGTACGATGTACTGGTATTGATTTTAAAGATTATGTTTTTCTGTTTATTGAGGAGGCACACTCTAAGACATACCTTCACCATCTTGTGCAAGTGAAAATCAATTTTTCCCAGCACTCTGTATTTAGGTCTGACCTGTTGTTTATCAAACCCTATAACAGCTATACAGACGTTGTTCAGTCCACTGCTTATTTTGTTAGACACCTATAGGACAGATTTTCACTTATATTAGTAATCTACTTATAATCATCACTTCTTTTCTTAAATAATATTGCCAAACCCTTCATAATAGAATCTAGACTACAGGGCTCAGAGGAAAAATGCTAGTGTGTTCAAAAGAATAATGCTATTGCTTCGCTTCTTCCGTTGGTTCTCTGGTAGCAGGAGCTAGATAAAATGGTCAATGCATCCTAAACACATACATAGTATGTGTAGTCGTGCTTTTATACCACCCTCTGTCATGATGTCCAGCAGGGTTTCATGCAAAATTGTATGCACAAGTATTCAGGACAAGATTTTTTTAAAAAAATATGCACACACATACACTAGTGACTTTTCTCTGAGCCAGTCAAAATTTGTACATATTTAATGAACCCTGGGGTGACGTCACAGTCAATTACGTATTGAAAGTTTATTCAACTATTCACTTTATGTAGAATCAATACTGAAAGTATTGTATCAGGGGTTAGGTGCACTTTAACAATAAAACCCACAATCCGAATAGTCTTTAAGTCAATAAACCATGAGGTCAAAGGCCAAATGGGCTATTAACTCGTAGATCATGAGGGTGAGAGCTACCTACCAATTGGTCAAAAGAATGGATACAAAAAAAATTGAAATTGGGTTACACTGTTTTAGTTGTCAAAACCGCACTTTTTGCTACTAGACTGTTCTATCACTACTAGACCACTAGTAGCTAGCTCAGCCACTCTGCAAACACTTCTCTTGTCTTCACCCAGCTCGCACATGCTTTACGAGTCTGCACAAAGCACGCTCACACCCTATATTTCTTTTAGCTAAGAACAATGTCTCATCCTTATCCAAATTTTGACTTAATCACTAGAATTAAATGTGTCATTTACTTACAGGAATAGAAAAGTTCTTGATTTCATCCCAAATGACTTTTCCTTTTTTGTAACAAGACTTGACAGATGTAATTTTAGAGGAGACTCCAACAGAGATATTTACATACAGTCCATAATGATCTGGAATTATCTGCTTGTCCAGGTAGAGATTTGAACACCCAAACACCCGTATTGCTAATAATCCAGTCTATAATAAATAATAATCGAGGAGAATTTGCTTTACTGAGTATGAAACATCCAGTTGTCTCCATTTTTTTTTTTTCGTCCTCATATTTACAATCAATTTTAAAATTATTGACATGAGTAAAAATCTTTCTAATTTTGGGTTACTCTTCCTCTCGTAATAAAAAAAAGCATTTCTTGTCATGTTTTTGTATTTCATGAGAAACCCAAATCTTTACTCACTGGTACAGATGCCTTTTCGTTTAACAGCAAGTCTTCTTCTTCGTCTTTCTTCACGTCTTCTCCACCTGACAGAAATCACGATATGCAATTATCATCAAAGAACAGAGTGTTCACACGTAATCTTTATAACACAAGTAATCATAAACTATTTAGAAATACCTTGAATGACTGAAGTAAAGTCAGCGAGCATCTTTTAGTCCAAAAGAAAAGCTCAAACCATTAAAATTTTGCTGTAATTACTTCAAACTTGCCGCGATGTTGTTCCTGGCCTGACCGACCTGGCCTTGTACATGTGCAGTCGGAAAGCAGTCGGAAAGCAGTCGGAAAGAAATTGATTGTCACTTGCAAAAACACGATTAACAACATCGAGCACTTCAGAACGGTTAGCGAAAAAAAACATTTAAACATATTTCTAAACGAATTTATGTCGCTTCTTTGTGAAAAAAGTATATTGATGTCGTCAGACGCCACGAGCCTTTGGGGTCACGTTAGTTGTTGTCAGTGTATTTTTAGATACCCCTAGATACCCTACGAGCAGAGTCTCCTTTTACTTAGTGACGTCTGTAATGCAACGCTGTTTTCTCCGGTTACGAAACCGCATCTGTACAGTTTTACTAATCGACTGTCATTCCACTTCACTGCTAATCAAGAGATACAAAAGCAGTACATTTTTATTAAAATAAAACACATTAAAAAAGGTGTGCCCTTTTGAATAAATTTGATGTGAGGAAAAAATTGTTCGCAAGTTCTGAAAGAAAATTACACATAAAATGTTCCAAAGTACCCGCTAAGTCCAAATAGTAGCGTCCTTTGCAGACGTTATTTGTGTCGGTCTCTTATGACGTCTGCAAAGGAGGCCACCCAAATAGCGGTACATGACAAAGATTAGGTGTTTAAATAAGCTTCAGCATACCAGCACATTGGGAAACCTAGTGCACGCTCCAAGAGCGTCTCGTAGCATTTTTTTGCAAAATTTCGGAATAGAATCACTAGTTATTTATAATAAAATAAAAATCATAGAATAAATGCTGCAAATTCGGCGTAAAAAAACTATTAGATTCCGTACGATCCATCCAAACGAAGTTCAGTCCAGTCCATCTTTGTACGGTTCCTGATTTTCCAAAACTAAAAAACACTCGGGCATTGAGATGAGGAAAACAAGTTTTAGAAGTTGGGCGTGTTTTTGCTGTACATAAAGACTATCCATGGCCTTTCAACAGGTGAAAATTCAAAACTAGGAGCGGGTATTTTGTGGATGGGGAATCAGATAACTCTGAAATGGCCGGTTTTGTTGAACATTCATATGAAGTACTATTTGTTGCAGAAAAGGACATCGAACAAGTAAGCACAGGCTTGCAATAGCATGACAACAGATATTCACGTAAAAACATTTCTAATTGAAGGATGGTAATCATTGGGGGGGAAGGGGGGTTCAACGTTATTTTCAACGTAACAGAGGGGGGTAAGATCTAAAAATTTTGTTTTTAAGGGGAGTACTGCCTAATCTTTTGCTTGATATATCTCATTTTTCAAGCCCCCCTCCTGATAATTATTGCACAGTCCCTTAGGTGTTAAATAAGCTTCAGCATACCAGCACATTGGGCAACCCAGTGCATGCTCCAAGAGCGTCTTGTTTTCCTTAACGATGTCACTGAAAAATCATTGCATTTCAGGTGGAGTTCAGTAGCACATGGATAGAATGTAGAGGTTCATGTTCTTCTGAAGCCGGTGAGAACCCGGTGCCGAGGATCAGGCTGGGTCGAAACGTCTGTATTCAATCTTTTTTAGTTATTTCAATAAAATAAACGATAGAAGAGTGCACACAATAGCCTTGCAACAAAACGTGATCATATACGAAGCCCCATTTCCAGTTTCGTTTCAGGCTCGAAAACAATAAAAACGACATAACTACTAAATATAAACAAATCTAAAAAGTTTATTACTACATTTTGGAAGCGATAAAAAGAAAATATCGGCTGTAATCTAGATCACCTCTGTCTTTCTGCAGATTTGTTTGCTATTTCTCAGCAGAAAAATATTGTCACAAATAAAAATGTATTATAGCTCTATTTGACCACTTCAATGAATATTTTTTTCCCCACTTTTCTCTTCTCCCAGTTTGAGTATCTTAAAGATTCCTTTATTCCGGTTTCAGAAGCATTCTCACTCTAAGCGAGAGAGGCTCTGGAACCCAGAATGATAATTTATAGGGTAAAGATAATAAGGATATTTTAGAAGGAAGCAACAGCGGGAGTAAAGGTCGAAATTCCATTGAATCTTTTTCCAAAATAACGAAGAATGAGAAGGAAAAGAGGTTACATCCTTAGCCGGTGTGGTACAACAATTACTAATATGATTGCAAATACATTATGTAAAAAAAATACAACTATATATAAACTAATTCAGCTGAGTAGATTGCATGCACCGAATTATAGTATCATAAAAACAAGAATGGATGGAATGGAATAAATCGTGATACTTGAATACGGAAGCCATTTGAGAGTCAGCATGCATTATGTACTTTGCCTAGTTCCACTAATTTCAAATCAAATCTACTGTTTTCGAGTTTAGCGTTTTATCATTAGCAATGGTATCTCCAGCCTACAAAATATATCTAAAATCAAATAACAGTGCTAACTGAAAATACATATTCAAAAATGTTTGAGGAAGGAAAATTTCGTCAAAAACACTATTCTTGGCAAGTTTGACTTTATAAACACTAAGTAAAACTATAAAACTATATTTTCTATGGTTCGTATCTTGTTATGTACATCTTTCAAAATATCTGTCGTCCTTCTCCTCGGCGCCTTCAGTTTCAACTGCGTCATCATCGTGTTCATCAGGACGTGTATATACGAAGGGGTTTTCCTCAAACTGTTCGTATTCTTCGTCTGTGATGTGAAGTCCATCATTTACGAAGGCGCAGAATCTTTGTTAAATGATGAGAAAGATTACATTATAACAACCTCTAGCAATTTATTATGAAGTGCAGATGATAAATGTTGTTTTGGCTGTCGTTTTCTTTTGCTGTCATTTGTTTGTTGGTTGCCGTTGAAAGTTGTGTTTTTCAAAGGAGAGGTCAAGGAGCAACACGCAGCCACGGAAGTTCAGATGATAAATGTTGTTTTGGTTGTCGTTTTCTTTTGCTGTCATTTGTTTGTTGGTTGTTGTTGTGTTTTTCAAAGGAGAGGGCAAGGAGCAACAGCCAGCCACGGACTGGCAAAGGAAACAATTCAAAAAAAATTCCACAGGACAGCGGTCCACCTCAGCAACTGCTGGGTGCAGCTATTGTGCTAAACTAATTTCAGTGTGAACATCGGTAACGTTGTTAGCAACAGCGTGATCTTGTTAACCGATGAAATACGCCTATTTCGAGTACCGCAAATATTGGAGTAACATTGGTTAAGGTGCAGAAATACGGGCAACCAAATGGAGCAACTTCTCGCGCAAAGTAGAAACTCTCTCTGCGACAATGAAAACGTGTTGTGCGCGAAGAAAATTTGCTTCTAGAAGTTGCGCGATGTTTTGCTCGAATTACCGTACTTTGTTGCAGTAAAAGTTATGCAAAGCATGTCGTTGGAAACTCCGTCGCCAGCAACTAAGTCCTGAAATAGGAGTTTCCCGTCATCCAGGGCGTGAGGATCAGGCCCGGGTGTGGAGGGAGAGGGGGCGGGGTTAACAGTAAACGACACTAACCTCTTTGGGTTCCGTACTCTGCTTATTACTTTCCAAGCATCACATTCTGGACTATTACAATATTCTCTTAGCTCATCCAAAGCCCGGCGTGTCTCAACTACACCTTGGCTATCAAATTCTTCTCTTGTCAGTAATCGCTGCGATGGGGGAAAGAAATAGTACCAAACTTTATAAGAAATCCTGAAAGAAAGAAAGAAAACAGCTTTTAGAATACAGCCTTTTGCGAGGTGGAACAAAATACCAAAAAACGCGTAACTTTTTAAGTTTTAATTCAGATAAATTATCTTGAGGCTAGTAAAGATTTATAGCGCGTTTGGAAGGAATTTGCAATACACCTCTTTAGCTTRGCCGTAATATTTTCCCATTTCACACCACGTGTCATTCTCTTGAGATTAAGATTTTTTGTTTGAGTTTTATCCATATTCATGTGTCTTTTCATGCGCAATCGTTAAACAGAGAAATGATACTCTAGGGAAAGAGAATATGAAGTACTTATCTTGTCTAGGGTAGGACACATGGTCTGGAGTGGTCTGCTTATTGAAAATGTTTGACAAGCTTGGCAAATTTATAGGACTAAAATAAAATAAAAAGTTTGAAATATTTTGATCCGGACACTTACCAGCTCTTGGGTAAAATAACAAGTAGTTTTTCAATGACATTGTGACCTGAGGTCTTAATGCTGTAGCATACGATCACTATGACAACCACTACTAAAGACAAAGATTCAGGCTGGATGCCCTTGTAAATGAAGTATGAAGCAATCAAACGGATGGTCCAGCGAATCAGATCGATGCCACGTTGGTTAGTGACAGGACCATTGTAGTAACACAAGCAGAAACTAATGATACCTTTAAAAACAAAAAAGAATGCATGAATGCATGTTTACTATAAGGCAACTATTGGAATAGTTGAACATGTAAGTGGCTATCAATTGCATTGTCTATCAGGAGTAATGTTCAGGGAGATAGGAGTACTGTGGAGGGAAGGGGTATGTGTGTGGTGTGGGGGCTGAATATGACTTGAGGGATTTTCTCCAGGTTCTCCTGATTACTCCCTCTACAGTGCTAAGTGCTAAATTCAATTAGATCTAAGAGTTAGCCATGCCCTGACGTTGATCACTGAGCCCAGATATAATTTCAAGATTTGATCAATGAGTTAGCCCCCACTGAAACCGCCACCCGGTTGGCTCAGTTGGTTGAGCGCCGGACTGTTGTGCAGGAGGTCGTGAGTTCGAGCCCTGGTGACCAGACCTTACACTCAGGGTCTTAAAATAACTGAGGAGAAAGTGCTGCCTTTGTAATAACACCTATAAAAATCATAATCATTATCCAGGGCGCTAATTAGGTAATTAGGTACCTAATGAGCGCCCTGTCATTATCATTATCATTAGCCATGCCCTGACTTTGATCACCCCAGATATTGTTTCAMGATTCAATCTACAGGTTGGCCATGCCCTGACYTTGATCACCCCAGATATTGTTTCARGATTCAATCTACAGGTTRGCCATGCCCTGACCTTGATCACCCCAGATATTGTTTCAGGATTCAATCTACAGGTTAGCCATGCCCTGACTTTGATCAGCCCAGATGTTTTTTCAGGTTTGATAAGGTTCGAAGGTTTAATTGTAAAGTAAGTAAATACCTGCAACAGTAAAGTATCCTATAACGATTGGGTTTCTATCAAGAACAAGGTCAACAAGGTTGTTCCAAGTCCATTGTAACAGATAGAGAGAAACACTCCAACCACCAGCTAAAAGGGCATAAGCTCCACCTTTCTGTGGAAAAAAAAAACAAAAAAAACATTATTAAGCATAAAGTATGTATACTTGGGAAGAAAATTATTAATGATTAAGTTAGTAATAATTAAGTAATTTATTTATTCACGTAAGACACACAGGAGCTTACAGTAAAGTCTCGTTAGAACGAGCATGTGATTATGATCCTGTATGATGTATAAAGATCCCTTTCTTTGTATAGACCTTAATCCAAAATGGCACAGGACCGGTTAAAAAAACAAGGCATTCAGGGCCAAATTCAAAGTATCTTCTTATAATTTGATGCCACAAAATTGTTGTGTTTCTGAATGTAAGAATGAAAGTTAAGACAGAACAAGTGTATACTTGTACTTTGCATTGACACCATATTATTTCTTTGCATTTTCTGCTGTATGCCTCGTTTTCATGTAACACACTCAGCTGTGTGCCATTTTGGACTTGATTAGGTGTATACCTAAGGTGCTTAAATTTATGAAAAGCGGTTAATCTAGGGAAGGGGTAGCGACTCCCTTTTTCAAAGTGGTAAGGGTGATTGTGCTAATACCCCTTAATCAGTGAGTGGACAACATCTTTCTTTTGTTCTTTTATGTTTGTCCAATAAAGAAAATGAATAACAACTGAACCTAATAGGTACAGAGTCATGTTACATAACTGACTTTTGAGTCGGAACCCAAAAAGGTTCAAACAGGAAATATTTTAAACCCTACTGCCAAATGCTCCTACCATTTGGACAAAGGGAGTCTCCTCCTGGGTGGTAAGTATGAATGTGGGCACTGAGGGTGTCCAACGCCTTCCCATGACACCCTCAGTGGTTCTTTTATGTCCCTCCAATGACAAAAACATGACCACAATTCAATGGGTCATCATTTATAGATGTAATTACAAAGACAGCATTTTCTCTTCAGTAATATAAGACCCTTTAGGAGTGTTTGTCCAGCTAGGGAATTGAACTCTTGACCTACTGGAAACAGTCCGAAGCTCAACAAACAACTCACCCAAATAGGCATCAGTTTAAAAGGATATTTTAAATTTGATATAATTGGCCAGGAAGACAATCTTGATGACTTACTGAAGGCAATAGTCGATGGAGAAGAAAGACAGCAAGTAAAAGAGAAACTCCGACACCAAGAACAATCCCAGAACTATAATAGAATGTTGCACTCCTGACAGACAAAAATCATCACCATCAAATTTACTTGTATTAACTGAAAATAAACTTCAAAATAAAATATGCAAGATAAAGACAGAGAAAACAGCAGAGAACTTCAAACTATCAAATCTTTTTTCCCCCAATCAATCTATTATGTGTCATCAACACCATAAAAGTGAGATATAAGTGGGCTTATAACTGAAAGCATACACTGTATTTGCGATAGCAGACCAATGGGCTTATAACCAGGATTTTGCAGCATTTATTCCAGAATCTGTGAATTTAAGTTACCTGTGATGTCATACCTGCTAAGCCTGTTAGCTTCTAGAAACAATATTAGCCCTACTATGAAAGACAGTGGAAGATGCCAATTGACAGCTGTTAAAATAAAGGAAAATATCTGGAAGTCATAAATAATTTGATTTATAAATAATTTAATTTATGTACAAGAATGCCATTTAATTTGCTAATTAATTATACAGCTTCTCATTAATCCCATATAGGTAACTGTCCAATTATTTTCTTAATTGGACAGGTCTTGTTGATATGGGATTAATATTAGGCAGCTATATAATTAATAGGTAATGGGATTTCATGCTCTCAAATCAAGAAATAATTAGACTTGAAAAATTCCTCTGACTGCCAAATTGGACTCAGCCTACGGCCTCATCCAATTTTGTCAGTCCTCAGAATTTTCCTCATCCAATTATTTCTTAATTGGACAGCATGGAGTCCTATTACATAATACTAATTGAGTTGCAACATTACAGCTTACAAAATCCCAAGATCCCAGAAGTGAGTTGTGAGTGGATCACTACTACTGCTTAACTCTGCACCCTTGGTTTCCCAGAAGAAAAAAACAAGAATGTGAAACTTACTTTGAAATGTTAGCTCTACGTTTATGCTGTTTGTTTCGTATTCTTTTCTTGATGAGATATCAAAACAGGTGTCTCCAAATGGGGATAAATACAAATAATTGCTAGTGATGGCATCAGGATCTGCAAACCAAGCCAAGATACGCTTTGCAAATGTCTGACTTCTGACCTCATTCAGGGTTTTACAGCTACAAGACCAGAAAAATACACAATTAACAATATTTTGAAAAGAAGTTGAAAAAACTAATTTAAGTAAAGCTGGTTACATTGTAAAGAATTCAGTGGGAACCTGTGGCATTAACTAAATTCCAAAGGTAATAGACCACTTTACCTTAAGCGTAATGTTTCCCATTTCAGACCATGTGTCATTCCCTTGAGAATAAGATTCTTTGTTTGGGTTGTATCCATTGTCATGCATTTTCTCATGTGCAACCATTAAACAAAGAAACGATACTCTAGGGAATGACAAGCAGTCTGAAATGGGAAAACATTATGCCCAAGAAAAGGAGGTCTATTCACTTTGGCAGTCTAGAGATGTTGTGCTATTACCTCTTTAAAACTTCATGAATAATTAATGACCTTAGAACAATACAAAATCACTACTGTCAAGGCATCTTTAAACCCTGATACAGAATTCATCCTGATTTGCAAAAGGTTAACTTTGAAATATCTCGGCCAAGTTACATTTATTGTTAAAATTTTTACTCTAAAAAAGAAGCATTAATCTAGACATTAATATGCAAATGAGCGTGAGATCTGTATGAGGTTTGAAACAGCTTGTTTGCGGCTCGCTGTTTTAAATCCTCATACAGATCTCCTGCTTATATTGTATATATTACACAGAGAAGGAAGGATATATGCATCTCACTTTATCATTTACTTGTACAGTATCTTCATTTTTAAACATGGTGATTTGTTCAGTTGCATAAAGCTAAGAATGGGCCTCTTAAAAATTAAAACCTTTGTTTAACCACCATAAATGTATTCTCAAGCTCTTGAATCTACACAAAAAAATCTACAAAGCTTTTCCCTGTTGTATCACAGTGTGGGACAATCACAACAGAGCTAGGCTCCAAACTAAGTCAAAGCCCAAAGATCGAATTAGAATTGCAATTGAATTGAATGCAAGACTACACATGGGAAAATCTGTTTTTTCAGTCAATATGGCTGACACGTGGAAATTAGACCCATTTAGGTGTAAGGTCAAAACAGTGGTCCAAAATATCTGCTTTTATTAATTCAGGTTGTAGGTAGCTCTACTGGTAAATACACCCTTCCTTCTGAGAGATCTGTTGAAATACATTGTACTTGATATAGGAATGTTTGTAGTGACTATTTCTATACATAAAAACATTGCTTAGCAAATATTCAAACAGGCAGTGATTTGACTTTTAGTTTTGAGTTTTCACTTCCAGGAATGGTTGGTACCAGATAATACCACTCATTACCCCTCTAAATTAGGTCCAGTAAGATGAACGATTGCTAATTGGTCTTATCCTAGTATACTCAGATGCTGTATCTCCTATTTTTCCCAGTGTTTGTAGCTTCCTATAGATTACCACTACCCTGGGTTCCAGGGGCTCTCTTACTCCAATCCTGCTTGGTTTTAGGTTTTATCATGGTTGTTGTTCATACAGTAGTCCTTTGGAGATTGTTTCAAAATTCATTGTTGAGAAAGTTAATGAAATCTTGACTGAGATGCATTGGAGTGAGGGAACAGGCCTGTCCCTAGGACTTGAAAGGGGATGTTCATTTTTCTACCAATCTTAATAAATTATGCCATTCCATGAAAAACTTAATACATGTATTTTGTACTCAGCTACGAATTGGGGTGGAGAGGGGGTTCGTTCAAGCCATCGAACCCTCCCTAGCGACAGGTCTGGAGAAACTCTGGAAACAAGAGTAGATCACCATTAGTTTGCTGAAAAATCAGACATCTACCTATCAGCTTGAAACAACCGATAGCCCTCAATGTCAAATTTAAGATCAACCCTTATGCTGCTCCATATGTGAAGTGGATGTATGTGGGAATATCCTTTGATACAGTAAGGAGGTTGATTTCTGAAATGATGACGACCAATATACAGCAGATCCTTCATCCTAACATCTGAAGAATCAAGGACAAAAATATATTTATTTGCTTTTGTTTCTAATGATTTTCAAAAAATTTATGTTAAACTTTAATCTGACAGAGCTATAATATGTCATAATGTAATATCAATAGATGACTTCAGCATAAACTTCGGTATAGGGGTTTTCTTCCACATATATTTTTCTCTTTCAACATGTCAAAATATGGCATTGATCATGTACTAGAAACCCCTCCATACCAAGAAAATACCACGTCCCAAAAGAGGATGTTAAATTCTTTTACATTACCAATATCATATCAACCTTAATTTATCATATGGAATGTTTATGCCATTTAAGGTGGGAATGATGCAGCCCTCTCCTCCNCCCATTCCCCACTGCTCCCCCCATCCCCCTAATTGACAGCTAGGACGTTCTCCCGAGGATATATTTTCTCAATAATTTTTTCATATTGACAAATGTATTTTTGGCTGTTTTTAGGATTTTAGTATCATTCAACGTTCAGGAAAACTCTAAAACCAAAATCAGATAAGACCCAGGATTACTAATATGTAATAAGAGGAAGACTTAAGACCTACAGACAAGAGATAAACCAGACAATAATATAATGGTGGGACAACATGTCAGGTACAGGTAAAACTGTACACGTGTAAAATTTCTCTTCGATTGCTATTTTTTATGTGTCAACATAGTTTCTTAAAGCATTGATTAAGATACTTACCTGTACAACTGCTAGAAGCCGCCCGCGAACCGTGTAAAATGAATCCTGAGAGGAAAAGTAAAACAGACAAAGAAAAGGCTTTTCTTTCTTCCGCCATTTTTTTAAACTGTGTAGTTTCACAGAGAAACCGCTGAACCATCACACCACAGGCAACCCACAATAACCAGGTTAACGTACATAAACAACGGATCGTGGTATTCGTTTTCACTATAGCTCTGCATATTCTTCTGACACCATTGATGGGTTGCAAGCATTCCCAAGAGAGTTTAAAGACAAAACCATGGCGGCCATTGTGGTGTCGTTAACAGTGGATGCTAATGAGAAATCTTTTGTTAAATGGCACCAACATGGCGCGATGACGTACGTGCAATCGAAGAATTCTGGGACCTCAGTCAACTACCTACAGGATAATGGATTTGGGTATATAGAAATAGCGTACTCAAAAGTTAAAAAAGCTTTACTATTGTATATTCTATTATTGAAAAAATTAAAATCAAAATAGAAAAAGGGAAACGGAGCAAAAGCCGTGAGCTGGTATAATGTTTTGGTCACCCATCCAAGTGCTAACCCTCCTCAGACGAGCTTGACTCAGTATCTCGGAACGACAACGATTTATCCACTGGACCACGGTTCCAGGGTTCCAGGTGAATCAGCATAACAATAGCCGTGAAAACAATGCACCGAATAGACTAGACTTTTTAGCATTATATTTTCAACCGATTCCGTGCGTGGCAGAGATGCAAGGGATCAGCCGATATGGTCTGGGGGCCGGCTGGTCTCTCCCCTGATGCTTCGGCTAGAACATTTTCTTGCGTAATTCGTACACCCAAGGGCAGAAGGATTTAATCGCCGTCAGGTCCGAAGTCCATACGCCGCCCCAGCTCTGCGGATGTCTCGGGGGTATGGCATAGTGGAATCTTTTTTTAATTATTATTTTTATTTCTTTTGGTGGGTTCGAATCCCATCTCATCCACATAAGATTTTTCTTTTTTTCTCTCTCTTTCTTTCTTTCTTTATATTTTAGTATCATTGGTAAGCGAGGGAGCGATGTTCAAAACTCATAAGAAAACAGGGGATTGGTAGCATTACCATTATTCATAAGCTTTACTGCTTATGTGTGGGTCTGTCTATCTGTCTGTCTGTTTTTCTGTCTGTCTGTCTGTCTGTCTGTCTGTCTGTTCTGAATAAGGAGATGCAGTAATGAAAGTTGAACAACCATTAAACCATATCTCCTACAACCCCAAATTTTATTATTGCACAACCACCATAACTACCAACACAACATGCATATATATTTTTACAAAAGAATACTTGTGCGATTACTTGATATTACGTTTAACTCTTGCACTTATGAAACTAATCTCAGTCTGTTAATAATATTATAAGAGATTCTTCAAGGGAATGCGATCTTTGGTTCACAGGATCTCTTGAGAGATCTGATTCTCCAAGCCTGAAAGAAAGCAAATTTATCATCATCATAATCATCATCATTATTATTATTATTATTAATGTATTTTATTAAACTGTAGTGTTAAAAACTCAAGTTTTCAAGTCCCTTGAATTCAGCTAGTAATTAACTGATCAGCAAATTCCGTTTGCGCAATTTTTTGGACCACGGATTCTTGTTCATTAGCCTTTGAAACAGCAGCAAATTTCAAAGCGCGGTATATGTATTTTTTGAGTGATGTTGCTCATGGGTGCGGTTAGCGTGCGGTGGCCTTAGGGGGGAGGGGGGGGGAGGGTGTGTAACTCGATCCTTCCGATGCATTTTTTATGCGAAAAGATCTTTTTCCTGATGCGGTGGCTCTTGAATTATGGGATGCCGAGCGTCAAACACATAGCAAATTATAAAGCACAGAGTCTTCGTGTTTCGCATATTGTTCCAACTACAAGAGAATATGAATTCAAATTCAAATGCTTTTTAGACGTGCTTCTCATCGAAAAGCGTAAAGTTATTTACAAGGAGACATCCTGACAGCTGTGCAGTCTATAAAGTTCCCAATACATTTCTTAATTTAAAAAATCTGAGAATTCAAGATGGCCGCGTTATCGGTAAAAAGGTCTATTAATAGAGAGAATGTTCTAAACAATAGAGGGAGCGAGACTGAGGATACGCCGGACCAAGGTTAAATTCTGTACTGACCTTCCAACCTGAGAGGGAAACAGGTGCTCCACTCGTTTTGCGATATGCCAGGCTCACTATCGAAATCGCATGAAGATATCAAAGCGACCATACAAGGTTCCCTCTCATCAACCATCACCTTCATTTCACTGACGTCAAGGATTCCATTCTTGTTGGTGTCACGAGAGGTAAACTCCCACTAAAACAACAATAATCATGTTTCAAGTTATATTTTGATATTACAATTAATATTTTAATATTACAGTTTTTTTGCATTACTTTGGCAGTGCATGTAAGAGAGGTATACAAACTTGTTTGCATTGGAAAGTGTGCACTGCTGATGCGCCGCGCCATTTAGCACTGCAGGGATTTCCCCCCCTCCACCCCGAGAATTCTTTTTTGTACTGGCCCGGTTGTACAAAGGGTGGAAGGGTGTATAGCGCTATCCTATTTATTGGATAACAGCCATCGTCTTATCCACTGAATAAGGATTTATCCTTCGGATAGCGCTATTCACCCTTCGTACAACCGGCCCCTGGCTATTAAATGCTACTATTAAAAACCAAGGACGCTTTAATATATATTTAATCGTAAGACCATGCAGACCTTCGACGTGCTAACAGTCGAGAAATGTACAAGTAGAACCTAGCTAAGAGAGCTATACTCAAGATCGATATAGATTCAAGCACATGATTCGTTTTTACCTCAATGAGCTTCTTTCTTTCTTGATCTATCAAAGACTCGAGCCTTGCTTCCTGGTACAATTCCATCTTGAGATTTTTTGCCTCCTCGTAGGCGATTCTTAGCCAATCGAGGTAGCGATCATGAAAGTCGAGCAGACGATCAAGAGGACAACCACCACCTACGGCATTCGTTTCTAAAAGTCATTCATCAGATAAATAAATAAAGTAAGGAAGCATTCTCTTTTGGAAAAATGGGTGGATGAATCTACGAGCACATGGTCCTCCCTCTCTTGAAAATCATTGTATATCATAGCCTTGCCAGGTATTCTTTCAATCTTCAGTTCAGTGGCAGAACATGAGACCAAAAAAACCTATGACCGTCCCTTACAATTATGTGTCAATCGATATGTCCCAGTTTTATGCACACTCTAAAATGCTTCTTGAGCAAAAGGTGTGTGAAATCATTATGAATAATGATGAAATGATGCAAAAATCTGTCTGGAATTTGCCGATTTTTATCATGAACGCACTGAGAAAAATCGCGGCCCTGATGTACAGAGAATCAACCTTGCCCAGAGAAGATGGACGAAGAAATGTCAAAATGCCCAATGGTTGTTCTCAAGACCAGACCTGAGACCAGACATACCTTCTGGAGTGCAGGGGCCCTTGTGTTTGACAGCCGTGTGGAATCCATACCGACATGCAAACCTATGCATCTCGCAAGTGTTGTTGTGTTGTTTGTTGTAGAAAGTGCAGACTGGCTCCATGACTTGAGGACAGGACTCGGGACAGACACATCTGGTGGAACTGTCTTCACTTGCCACACACATGCGTCCCTTCTTGCAGTAAACACCATTACAAGGATCTTAGGGACACAACGGTACATGAATTATTTACAGCGAATGATGGATGGATGGATGGAGTCGACAAATTTTAATATTGCGACCGGTAGACACATGATTCTAGTGTTTATGATAAAATGTTCAAAGAGCAATGACGACATCCCTCTTTGAAAGCTATTTTTCTCGTCTTCCTCACCTGAGCTGTTATTTGCTTCTTCGACGGCAACCTGTCAAAAGAAAGCAGAGCATCATCAGTTATTCGGTTCGGTTGCCAACTACGTGGAGCAACACCAGCTCAAAATGCAGCGAAAATATGAACAAGAACAAAACAAGAAAAGAGGAAAGAGGAAAATTAAGAAATTAGCAGCAATGAAGGCCAAGCAGGAACAATGCAATTTCTCAATAGTGTAAACTTCTATCGTTATACAGTACTTCTCAACATGGCTGTCATAAACACTCTGATGCTACTGAATCTTCGCAAGTCCTAAACTGTTATTGAATATCATATGTACTTAATCAACCGAGATTTGTCCTGAAAAGAGGTCAGGAACTCATAATTCTTGATCAAAGCTGCTTCCAGACATCTACTGGATATTTGCGTGAATTCAGAAAAACAAGAACAATATGCCCAAAACCACGTGATGGCAAGAATGTGTCTCCCTTGCATGCAGCACTGATACTAGCCTATGTAGTGCCCCCCATCTCCATCTCCATCCTTCATCCCTTTTGGGCCGCTACGCAAGGACTTGTGTGACTCAAAAATGGTTAATAATACCACGGTATATCAAATAACCACATCACCCTTCTTGACCCGCATTCCTTATCCAACCTCATCTTTTCAAATACACGGCCTCCAACATTTTCAAAAGATTTTGGTCCCCTAAACTTTTCCCGCAATTTCTGATAAGCATTTGTCCAGCGCAAATTGTTATGATGATTAGATTAGTTCGGCCACTTGCCAGGAACTAGAGATCGCCTTATATATAGGCGGGACTCTTAAAACACCATTCCTCCGTCGACTGATAAAACTACTACAAATTCTCCAGATCTCTTAAGAGCACGCCTTGAATATTTCAGAATATTGGAGAACATTTGTTTTCATGTAGTTCAGTACTGGCACGATTCTTTCACTAAATAAATGCGTAACATCTTGATGATAAATTTGCTTGTTTTGTGGGTAAATAGTATGCGTTAATTTGTTGTTTCTTTAGAGTGGATGGCCGTTCGAGATTCACGATCATTCCTTTGTATACTAAAGTATTTGTCGCATGCCCACATCGAGATTATCGATAACAGACAATCAGGGAAATTGACTCTCAGCTTTTATTGGAAAAATTACAACAGAAATTGCAATTTAGATAAAAATCCAATTGCCTAAGGAGATTACGAAGAAAGATGGCGACCGTGAAAAATAGACAAGAAATGTGAGAGCAGTTGTATTTAACGAGGAAATTAGGCGATAAACACAACAAGAAACAAATAAACGATTGTAAGAAATACTATCTGATGATGTCGAATAGCTTAGTCGTTTATTTGAGCGAAAGTCTGTGGAATGTTTATCACTGAGCTCGCGCGCGTGGAAGAGTCTTACTTTTCAACGCAAAAACTTCAACAACCCAATTCGCTTCAAAAGCGATACGATGCAAATGATATTTTTAGAGATTTAATTGAGTGCTTATCCAAACATACGTCTTCTCTCTCAAACTTTAATGAATTTAAAATATGCCAATTGATTTTTCCTTGTACGAACGGTCCATGTGTAGATAGGTGATTTGAAGAACGAAACGGTGCTTCGTGACGGATAGATTGGAGTATGTGAAAATGAAGAGTCTTGAAGGATAGTTCGATGGTTTATTGGGGATGGAATTAGCTGAGATTACTTACCGAACAGCAAGCGAATGCGAGAACCAAACACAGCACCACTAGGAACTTCGCCATTTCTTCTTCGGTAGGAAATAAAGATTAAACAACGGACTTTTTTGTGCCAATATCTTAGCTCTCAGAGAAAACAAAACGTAATCAAGAAAATCCTTTGTATCGGCACTAAAGGCTCGAAAATATCCACAGGAATGAGCAAACACTCAATCCAGTTAGGAATGTGTTTGTGTGAATGACATGTCGAGTAATCCCATACATCTAACCACATTCAGGGCTCGTCTTTCACAAACCGGATAAAGGTGGGAGTGGGTGGGTCAGACAACTAATTCATCTGCTTCCACTATGGGGATTTGAAGATTTGCCCTATTCACTCGTTAATGATTAATATTATCATATAAGATTCTATTTAACATTAACGTTCTCTTTTTTTCTTATTACTTTCTTAGTTCTATGTGATACCCAACTTCGTGATTTATGTTTTAAGATATTCTTAAATAAAAGCAAAAAACAATAACACCTTTTTTCCATAGTTTCAAGGTCTTTCCGGTGTGTGCCATCAAACAGACAAATATTTGGATGTCTACCAACCATACACTCATCAAGCCTGACCTCAGCACCAGACTCAATATCTAGCTGGCTACTCTTTTTCTTGTATTCAAAACACTACAAGAGAAGAAGGTACTGGTGCGCCTGAATGCCAGTCAATCTAAGGCATCTGATTAGGGTCATATTTTTTTCTTTCTTCTTGGCGGATTAAGTCATGCATGACCCTCCTTTTTTAGTTCCGTAACCATCTCGCCGATTTCGGCAAACGCGAAACATCAGTTGACAAGCAAAATACTCTTTAAAATACTATGAACGATTAAATTGTCTTTGGTGTGAATATATTTGCAAAAGGTAAAGTCGAATGCAGAGATACGATCGTCATATCTGCCGTCATTATCTGCGCAGGAGTTCATAACATCAATCAGTCTTTTCGATCCCCTTTTAATTGACCTGGAAAATTCCAGGATTCCGCCCAGTTTTTTCGTCGACCTCGGAATGGCTAATGACAGTAAACTATTCAATGGTCCCACTGTAGTCATGCATAAGCTATGGGAGCAGACCTTGTGGAGCCCTACAAAGAACCAAAAAAGAGCAAGGGAGGGGAGAATGGAAAAATAAACAAAATAAAGGGATCAATCGCAGGTCAAGGGGGAGTACAGCGAGACCACAAAAATACTCATAAGTGCATAAGATACCGCACGGCCTTAGATCAGGTTATAAGTTTTTTATTTATTCGAACCCGTGGGACCAGTGAAGATAAAGAGTAACTCATATCTTCGAAGCAGCGGCAAAACGGGGAATCTGAATGAATGCTAAAAATGCTTTGTTTATATACTATATATGATTATACCTATAAATTTATAAAATCATAGTATGTTTATATAATTATATACTTCAGTTTTTGTGAGCTCGTCCTGATTCGAAGGACCTATCCCCCATAAAGCGAGGCAAAAAGATATCCAACGTTCTATGGAATCGGACTGAATTCCGGCAGCGAATCCTTCTACATTTTTCATATTGAGCTCTGAGCTCTTGCTTCCCCGAATATTTCGTTCCCACTGCAGCCTAGATCAAACTACAGAGTTACCGCTACTGGTGTACCGCAGAGATTTGTCTTCATGTTCCCCCGAGGATAGCAGCGCCCTGGTCTCGTCATCCTTCTCGTGGTGCCTGTGCCTCGTTCGAGCAAGTTGCCTCTCTTGTTGTATAGTCCCAGTGTCAAGTTCATACCTGTGGTATTTCTCCTTGAAGACGAGTAGCAATGGAATGCAGACACCACAGACAGCCACCATACACCAGTTCATCCACATGGTCCCTGGATAGTCAAACACAAATTAATAAGGGCAAAACTAAGTCATGACATATTTTACGTATCTTTAACGCGGAGGGTTGCGGGGAGGGCGGACTCTGTAGGTGTATCGATAGCGTATATAGATTCAATGCACTCTTCATTTGAAATGAAAAAAACAAGGTGAGCATGTTCAGCCAGTGTAGAAAATCCCCTATATTCGCTATACGGGTACGTGCCGCCCAACAGGAAATTCTACACTGGAACAGGGTATGAATTCTATCAATTTTACTCTGGAACAGGGTCAGGGTTCAGGGGACTCAGCGGCACATCCCTACCCTAAACGGGCAAGAGCAAACTCCCCCCCCCCCCCGGGAGAAAATCAGATGTTTTTTGTTTTGCCAAAAATCAACGACTCCCTTTTCTGGATTCTTTTAAGTTTTCATACAAGCTCTTGGGATTTAAATAAAAGATAAAAACCCAAACTCACCAATATTGGGAATCATGAGAGCTGCCAAGAAAAGAAGACAGGAGAGATGATTGGATGTAGTGATGACAGACATAGGGATTCCTTCGGCGATAGGATAGGTTGTTTCAACAGTCAGCTCGTAGAATAATGGGATGGATCCATTAATGAAACAGCCACCCAGTACTGCAGATACGTACAACCAGACTAATATAGGAGAGAACAAAGTTCATTTGTAGTTATTGCGCAATTAACTACAGTTCCCCGGCGTAACACGTTAAAAATCGCCAAGCTGAGGATTGGCCGCCAAAGGGAAATGTGACGCAGCCGTGCTGTACAGTATATAAGCACTGTGATCGGATAATGCGTATTTTCGTACTTATAGATTGGCCGCCAAAGGGAAATGTGACGCAGCCGTGCTGTACAGTATATAAGCACTGTGATTGGATAATGCGCATTTTCGTACTTTTAGATTGGCCGCCAAAGGGA